GCTTTCGGTACCTCAGTCGACCAACAATGTAAAAACTCACGACTTAATAATATGTCGTCAAATAGCATACACACAATATATCACTTGAACTATTACTGGGACCTCCTACAAAAATCAATTATAGATGCCGCCACAAAAACTATCCCTAACAAATATACTTCTTACTATGACCGAGACATTAGGCCACGTATGCTCAAATTAATTTACAAACGTATCAAGCTTATACAGAAGCTTTGCAAACTGAGTACAAAATGCATCAAGGACAATATAATCGAACTACGTTGGCTCACCTGATACAAGAAAATACAGGCCTTCTCATCAGAGTATGCTGTTCCCACTCCTGATATTAATCAACTCACAATGCAAGACATCATTACTACCTATCCTTTATTAACCGACCTTCGGAAAATTCTATCCACAGAGGCCAAGCTGAACGAAGCTGAACTTAAAACGAAAACCATCAACGAAGCGATTGAAAGACGCTGTAATAATTTCGTAGATGACTAAAAATCTATATTCGACTCATTACTAGACCGTCTACGTACTACAATCACATTAGACAGATGCATTAATAACAACAGCCCTGACAAAAAACTCCTAGTAGATCCTAAAGATGTCCAAAATGAAATGGCGAGACATTTCCAACAAGTAGTCGGCTCATAGTATTTCAACCCATCTCTCCCGGAGACCTGGGAACATATATACAAACCAAACGAATCAATTAATCTGGACATATACCACTCTGTTATGCAACCTCCAACGATCGAAGAATGGAACAATATCATCAAGGCATTACCCAATGGGAAAGTGCCTGGACCTTCTAAAATATCTAATGAGATGTTAAAACACCTCGACCCCTTCGCAGCCAAATGTTTCTGGATCATCATTTGCAGATGTCTGCTCCTTAACATAGTATCTAGTAGATGGAACTTAGCATTTGTCTATCCGATACCTAAGCCAAAACCTTGGGAATACGACTTAACAAATATGAGGCCTATCACGCTTCTCGAATACCCGCGCAAAGTCCTTACAAAACTAATTAACAGTCGGCTGTTACATGTTCTGTCATCTAATGAGATTCTCAAAGGAAATAATTTCGCTGGTCTGCCCTGTAGAAGCACCTTCGAACCCATCCATATCTTCGATAATATTAATTACGACGCTTCGTTCCATCATAACAACCTTTGGATTTTGTTTCAAGATATGTCAAAAGCATATGATCGCGTTAATATTACTATGTTAATCAGAGCCCTTGGACGCCTTCGTATTTCAGAAGATTTTATCAAATTTTTGATCTCAATTTTCCTACCTCGTTTCAACCAAGTTTTTACCGCGTACGGTAACTCTGATACCTACTTAGTTCTCTCAGGTATCGACCAAGGAGAAATCATATCCTTATCTTGTGATGCATCTATTATGACCCGCTCCTCTGTTCCATACAAGACTCTGCACATAGTTACACACAACACGTTCACTAGAACTCTGACGTCACAAAATGCAATATACGAAGCTTTTTGAATCATGTTCCAACATTAGCATATATGGATGACACCCTCTGGCTGGCCAACTCCAGATCTGATCTCCAAAACATCATGACCATAGCCGACTTGTTTTACACACTCAATAGCATACAAGTCAATTGGAACAAAACGGTTCTCATGATTAATGACAAAGACTCCGCCCCAGTTAACTTCGAGTTTAATAATAACAACATTTGGCTTTCACCATTACATCACAAAGAATCTACTAGATATTTAGGCGTCTGGGTATTCCTGTTTAATAACTGACAATTCGTCACCAAACAAATTACTAACGAGATCACCAAAACAAAACACGTACTCGAAAAGAAAAGGCTAACTGCCAAACAGATGGTTGCAATTCTCAACACAGTCATCATCCCTCGCATTTTATACAAAACTAAACTGATGTTTATCTCTTGTACAACTTGTAATACCCTTATGGCATTGTTTAGAAATTTCTTCAAAAAAAAATTGGGTCTTTCACGATTTATTTCCTCCTCCGTCCTCCACTCAACCTTTGGATACAATTTAGCCTACTTATACGATAAACAAATACAAACCAAGTCAGTGAACTTATTAAAGATGGTCAATGATATTGCGCTTCTTGGCTCAACTTCACAACTACGAATACTGCAACTTCAACTGACGGAATGACTTCCCTCTTCCTCTTTAACTGATTGGCCATACACTGATACTAAGGCCTTTAAAGACTGGTGGTCTGGATTTTTATCAGCCGCCAAACAGATTAATCTCAAACTACATCAATGTATAGACAAAGATTATAATCTCAAACGAATAGATGGAGGATCATTTCCAATTCTTCACTCCCTCCCTGCTAAGGTTTATCGGTAAAATATTATAAAACTACGCTCACTTTCACTATTATATGTTGATCAACTTACCACTATGGATGGCTCCTACCTGTTCACAGCTTTTGACCTAAATATGATTTATGATTCAGTATTCCATAGTGCTAAATGGTTCAAACTATTGGAATCGCAAATCTTAACCAACTCTTCAAACAGATTACTATCTACCAAATATTCTCCACACACTTCCATAGTTAAGTCAACTCCGCAACCACCCAATTTCAACGCTTCAGCAACTAATTCAACTTTTGTCACCATCTGGTCTAACCAGTATATGACACCCATATTGGGCAAAGTAGTAAAGATTAAAGATGCTACTATACACGCACAACATTATTTACTGAACCTAGCCGATTGCCTTCAAACATCCATAGTTCCCTGTACTAGGTGTAATCTCTTCGACCAGTCAGCCCACATACCCTATAAACAACAACAACAACATCATTTTTGTGCCATCATACTCCCTAAAACATTTTGTTCCATATTTAAAGTATCACACCGACCTCGTGAGGGATGGTGGTATAGTTTATCACAACTCATGCTCCGTGAAGTTTCTTTATCCCCACTAACTTCCCCTTATCAATACCCACCCGTACCTTTACCTAATTTAGATTTAGTCCCATTCGATCAAACTTCTATTATTAGACTAGATTATCTTAAATCCCAACTTACTAATGCTAATTCTCTTCAATTCTATACAGATGGTTCACTCAGAACACTAGGATCCCCTGAATGCCAAATGGGTATAGTGTGGTTACAAACTGACCAAAATTGACCTTTGCTCTCCTTTAATACTACACTCGTATTTCACTCCCCCTCATCAATATTAGCAGAGATAGTTGCTATCCTCGCTGCTACATATACAGCTCCATCTCATTCAACAATTGAGATCTGTACAGATTCACAAGCTGCTATTGCCTCCTACCACAAACTTGTTACCATATGTTCAGACTCTCCCTTGTTGAATCCTGCATTTAAAATTCCCTACTTTCACATTTGGATGATCCTGCTACAACTAATTACGAATAATAACCTTAAGTTATCATTAACAAAAGTCAAAGCTCATGGAACAGACCAACTCAACAATAAAGTTGATGCTCTTACAAAACAAAGGTCTGGTGCTTCACTAAGTATCAACAGCAACCACTTTGGCCCTAAATACTTTCTAAGCCATAACAATACACCAATTATTACACCACCACGTTTGTTTATCAAACACATGCAACAAGCATCCTGGGCGAAAACACTTTTGTTGATTTCCCAATTGGCAAAATATAACAATTTTCACATAGATTGGTAAAACCTCTTCTATGTCCTTAATGACTCTGAAAACACTAGAGTAACATCGTTTAATGCGTGCAAAAGAAAGCAATTCAAGATTAAGCTATTACTACAATCACTCCCTACCTTGTCAATAATGAATGCACGATACCCCACACTTTATACTACTGCTACTTGCTTTCGCTGCAACATTGCCGTTGAAGACTTCTATCATATCTGGTCTTGTTCCCAAAATACTTTTTCACTCACCGACTTAATACAACATCTCAAAATTGCACTTATGTCCCATCTCAAAGAACTAAACATCCCTAATGATGATAACCTTTTAGATGCTATTGATCAATTCTCAATATAGTATTGCAACTCCTTCAATAACAACTTATGTTTTATTGATCTTATAAAAGGAATCATCCCCTCATCACTCTCCTCCAAAATCAACTCCATCACCAACAACAAACAACTCACCAGAGGGTTATTGTCATCTCTATTTGATGATATTTTCTCATCAGTTCACAACATATGGTTAAAAAGATGTGAATCCCTACAAAAGTGGAAAATCTCTCACAACATTAAAGACGACTTCACTGTTGCCTGGATTTCTTCTGGACTCCCGCAATCCACTCATACCTCGAATAACAATCTTTCCTCGTTCACAGCAGCTGTCGCTTTTGGTTCGTACTGGTCAAATTTTTGGTTCGGCAGTAACCACGCCCTCCCCTCCGGACGTTCAATATCTGTACGTTAGTGTAGATTAGTTTTCTTATCTAATATATAGTTTAGTTCGGTAAAGTGCAAGGTTGGTATTGATAAAGTAGTTTAGTTTCTAAATTAGTTTATAGATATTTTTGTATTTTCTATTTTATTTTGTTTCTCTTGTAAACTCATAAATATTAATAAAGATCATGTGAGACTGTCGCATTTATAAAAAAAAAAAAAAAATCATTTTTGCATATCATTTTTAGGTGTAACAATATATTACTCAATATCAGTATTACTTGTAATTTATTTCTCGCATAGACAAAAATTTTGTAAATATGAATGGGATGAAAATCTCATAGTTAGTAATATTAACAATAGAAAAAAATAGTACTGGAAGTGTAAGAGCAGAGACTCCACAACCTTGAAAGCATTCATATATTTCTGAAAATCATTTATTAATAATAGATTTGGGTTGAAATATGCAAAGACTTCTATTTTATATTCACTTTTTGAATCGCAATACAATAAATGGAAAATGAACATAATACTAATTTAATTGTAATATATATAATACAATATATTTTCTACATTTTTTTTTATTTTACAATACTAATTAAGCTAATCAAGTTAATTACTGTAATTGAATAACTTGATCTGTAATATAACTAAAAGTACCAGGGCTAGATATATATTGAGCGCTTATTCGTACATTTTCAAACTTTTGGTCGTGAAAGAAATGAGCAACGTTCACACTCTCAAAGTTTCTATCATTGGGTAGCCAATAGGGTTTCTTTGTTGCATCATCTTCACATGAAAAATTTACTATCCATATGTCACTTGCTGATAGCATTTCCGCATAATGAAGCACCCTTTCAAAGTGTTCGTTAAGTTCCTTTTTTGTTGCTGATGCTAAAAGCTCAAGAACAACTTTTTGGTTTGAAGTCACAATGATTATATCACTAAAATAATGTTTGTCATTTTCATCATTACCAGCGTGATCTATTAGATGTCACTGTCTAGTGACCTCGAAGTTATTATCTTTGATGATCCAGTTCACCAGGATTCTATTTAGTTCTGTATCATAAATACTCTCTCGAAGAACCTTCATATTATGACAACCATTCACTTTCACAAGTGCAGTTTTAAATGATCAGTCAAAAGTATTACGAATGATAGTTTTATCAAAACAACAAACAGCTTCTATTAAAATATCAAGGATTTTTAGAAAGCCATCAGAAGTTTTGGGAACTTGAACAGTCAAGCGAGATTTGTACAATACAGGAATAACCCATTACTGAATCAATCCATCAACAAAAATAGATGACATTCTGTAACTAAACTCGTTCACATTTTCCCTAATAAGCACCCCTTGGGTAGTTAAGCAATCTGTTAGTCTTCTTTTTTCATTGTCATGAATTTGTACAAAATCGAACGATCCTAAAAATACAGACCGTAGAAAGACCATAGTTTTCTTATAATCAGGCTTAAGGAGATCATCAACTATATTTCTAAATGTACTGTACATAATCATACGATCTGTCAGTTGTGAACTGGCAACAAAGTTTGACCAGAGAATGAAATCAAGACATCTTCTTTCGTCAAGTTTCTTTACTAAGTTACATTTGATAGCCTTGCCATAAAGGCAGACAATACCAGCATGCCTGTCAAATAACAGAAAAATAAATTTTAGTATTGATTTAATATTAATTCTGACCAGCTTCACATACCTATTCGTCCATTCATAAATATCCTTAATGACCTCTGGAACAATGATTAATTTGTCATCATTCTCATAATCTTTATATAATGACTCCACTTGTGTCAAGGTGAAATTTAGGTTCCTAAATGACTCCTTAATGTTGAACGGAGAAACATTTATTTTGTCTGATCTCAGAAATAAAATACTTAGGGGTCCGATGGCTACAGAAGACCAGATTGCATAGTTTCTTTTTGAATTTTTAATATTATGAATTACTCCAAAGAATGAGAATTTAATGTCATCATTTGCTTCAAGTAATACATCATACTCGTCAATAAAGAGAACAACATGTTTACCATTCCAATATTCTTTTTGCAACTTTAGCTTAAAATCATCAGCAGATTTGACATCGTTTAATTTAAAGTGTTGTGGAGCCTTAATACATAGTTCAGTGCCTACTGCTGACCAGAATGTGTTCGTAGTTGTCACATTCATTCCTTCAAAAGATATACTGTTCTAAAAAAAAAAGAAATGTAAGCAACAGTTATACTGAATGCAATTTACTAAATAGAACTTACCAGATGCAAACATAACCTTCGCTTTCCAACTTAATCATAGCTTGATCCATTCGTATAGACTTCCTGGAAGCCCACGCACCATATAAAGCTACAAATTCTCCTTTTCAAATCATGTTATAAAGTGGTATACTCACTTCCGTTAGATCAATAAAATATATTGAATTACACATTTCATTAATAATGATACTATTAACCGCCTATTCTCTTCTTTTTCTACTTGTTGCTGTAGAGAAACATTTGTAAGAATGATAGAATAAAATATATAGTTATGTATAGAAACAAGAATATTTCATACTTTCTACTTCTGTATTTTTCCTTTTTCTCTTGAGCTCTAATAGTTATAATAACAGTTAGAAAGCATATTCGATATTATTAATAAATGACGAAATATATATCATTATTTTGACTGCAAATTTCTTGTTCAAGAGGTAAAACGTTGGGAGACACTTACCAGTGGGGACTGCAATAACAATATGAACGTGTTTATCTAGAAGTCCACCAGAAAAACAATCATTTATAAGCTTATCCGCTGGATTCATAAACTTGGCTTTAAGTTCTTCACGTCTTCGTTTAATATTCTTTACAGTAAAAACATCTTTAACCTTGTTTTCATCATCAATATTGATTTCAACTTTCCAAAAGTTCATAACATCGGGATCATCAATAACAAATTTATATTTTTTTCTTAGACAAGATATAACTTTTAAATTGTCTAACTTGTGCTTCACGAATGAAGACTTTAGTATCATCAGAGATAATATATTCGGGAATGGTAACCTGGAAGATTTTTTCATAGGAAGTTTCGCCTAGAAGTAAACAATTAAATGAAAATGACATTTTGGGGATAATACTGCGAATGATAAATTGAGAATAGTTTAGAAGAAAAGGTTTCAAGAGAGTTTGAAAAATTTAAGAGAGTTTTAGGATATATATATACTTTTCTGAATACATCATGATTAATTATAAAATGATCTTTATAAACTCTTAATTGATGACACAAAATATAATATAATGATATAAACATAGTAAAAAAAAAGTTTATAAAAATATAAGCATAGTAAAAAAAAAAGGTTATAAAATTAATTTATCGGCAAGCGAAAAAAAGTGATTCATATAATTTTATCGTTACTCAGATTGCATTCATGATATTTATTAATTATTCAGTTGTACAGTTGACCATCACAACACAAATTTGTATGACCACCCAAGTTGCATGAACTCATTAAAAAGAAACTGGAAGGAACTCTTTCTCCTTTCATTCCGAATTTCTAAAATTTTAGAAATTTACTAAGAAAATAAAAGTGTTTCGCTTAAAAACTTTATTTAAAAATTTACAACTCTGTTAGCTAGTTCTTTAGCTCACTTTTACAAATAGTTTATAATACTTGAAAGAGTTTAATTTATTCGAAAAATCCTAAAAAATGGTTAGAAAATCTGCAAAAACTTTCATTAACAAAACAATGGTTGCTACGACTCGCTCAAAGCTAAGCAACCTGAGGCTAGCAGTTCTTTTCGCCTTGGAGAAAAGCCTAACTCATCCTTGGTTAGTGACAAGGATATTGTCGATAATACTTACGTTGGACAGTCCACTCCACTACCTAACATTCTCGACACTCAAGAGTTTGTTCCCATCGAAGACGATACGAACATGGAAACTGAAAACACTAACTTTATCATTATCCCTCATCCTTCTCCTTTTGCTTGCGCTGCCTCCATTAGCAAAAATACTAAAGAACTTCCTACCCCTCAAATTATCTGTGTAATCAACAAGGTGTTTGCGTATAATGATACATTCAGAAGGCTGAATGTACGTCATGTAAATTTTGTACGTTCTGCAGTCATTTATTTTGATAATGCAGAATCTATGCAAGCTGCACTCTTTACTCAACTATCTGAATTGGACATTGAGAAATTTGTGGAATACACTGCATATAAGGATAATACTTAGTTCTAAAATAGAACTCTGTGTGTCACTGATATTCATCTCAGCCTCAAAAAAGATACGATCATCTCAATTTTCTCCAAATATAGTACCATCACAAACATCCACATGCAGACCAGAAACCTATGGCAACATGCATATATCACCTATGACAATTCAGATGCAATCAAATTGTTCTACACTACATGGTTTAGGTATATTTACAATGATTATATCCGCATATATTCTGCATGCTTTTCCCCAGAACAGGTCAAAGAAAGGAATGAATATAGGGTTAAATTAACCAACCTTCCCTTTGGAACTTCTGCCTGTGACCTCCAAGATATTATGCTTACTGTTAAAGCAAAATCTTGTTATATTCTTCGCTCTAATAATTATAAACCCAGACCATTCACCATTCTTTATTTCGAATCAGCTGAGGACCTAAAGAAAGCCATTACCAACGATTATGCTTTTAGTAACAATGAGTTATAATAGTACGCTGCTGACTTCAAATGCTACCATAAATGTGACACAGCTGACTATATCATAATAAAATACCCTATAATTCTAGAACAGAAAAAACTAACAAACGATGTTGAAGATTTCAGACCCCCTAGATCTAAATTACCCTCTGTTTAATGACTCTACAATCGTTTTAAACCTGTTGGATCTTGCTTCCTTATTGTCAAAAATACTATCCAAAAGAATAATAACCAACAAACTCCTATTCCCCTAAAACCAGTCATCAACAAAAGAAAAGGACTACAAACAATCAATGATTCCATCTACAATCCTCAAAATACCACATTTGATAAGACAATAAAAAACTTGATAAAATCCTCAACATGTTAATAAAGATGTAAAAGGATATGTCTGAATTGAAAACACGTATCTCAAAATTAGAAAGACATGAATTCAACTCAGACTCTACCTCTATTCTTTCCACCTCCAATATCCCTCACAAATCCGCTTCGCATGACCTAATCTTGAACTTTAATCAAAAGAAACACACATGTATTGCTAACTCATTATCTGATGAAAATATCTTCACCTTCAAACCTATCGATCCTAAACTTCAAGAATATATGGATGAACAAAATGCTATTATTGGAGATCTTCACAAATAACTCAAAGAAGCATTGACTCAAATCACCATCCTTGCCAACAAGAATATACAATAATTCTCTCACTCTTAACCTTTATTCTTAATCATGATTAATAATAATAATAATAATTTTCTTAATACTGATAACGATACACCCATATTATTACCCTAACTAGATGTTATGTCACCACCTGCCTCTACTATCACTTTTGCTACACACAACGTCAACTTTCTACAATGTTTGATCAAAAATCAATTCATCAATGATTCTTTTTCAGATTTCAATACTGATTTTGTTGGTCTTACAGAAACTCGACACAAAGCTGATCAAACTTTTCACAATTTATCTGATCATTCTTATACATCATATTGGAGTAATAATATCAACTCTTACGCTTGTATTGGTATTCTTATTAAAAAATCTTGGGCAATTTATGTTCAAAAAACTTTTTTAAACCATAATAGATTTATTTACATTGACCTTTATTTAGCAGGCAATGTCAAACTCAGAATCTTCTGCATTTATTTACATACTTCTACTGAAATGCGAATCAAAAAAAAATGAATAAAGTTATATAAAGAAATCATTACCCATATCAAAGAAGAACTTAAGTCTGATTTCAGAACTATAATTTTAGGTGACTTTAATGTTAACTTAGATAAATATTGCCTAATGTTCTCTTAAACTTCAAACAATTCTACAATTTGAATGATCTCTAATCATTACAAATCAAATCTCTCTCTACCGCTCTTTTATATCAGTTTACTAATTCTACAATTTATAAAAATGTCTCTATCATAAGACTTTTTTAACTCCAATCTCAACACTTCCTTACCACCTCTCTCCTTGATTTTTGGTCTCGCCCATTTGATAGACTTTCTTACAAAAAGCTTATTAGCGCTTTCCTATCACTTATCAAGTCTACTTCCTCTAAACTTTCACTCATTGCTTTTCCTCTTTTTACTAACCAAATCAAAGGAGGATCTTACCCTCTCACAAAAATTTTTCCCTACAAAATTTACAATTCTTTTAAAAAATCTTAACTAATTACAACTTAATTTATTTAGATCAATTAATCTCTGCTTCAGGCTACTAGTTAATCACAAAGGCTGACTTTCTACTTAGAGACTTTAATCATCATGTTAAATACTTTGGATCACAAACTTTTTTCAAGCAACTGGCAAATATTATTTTAGAAGATAACATTCAGTGACTTCTCAAGCCAGAATTTAGATTAGTTTTTCTTTTATCCTATTATAGTTTTGTAATCAATTTACCCTTTTCAAATGACCGAAAAAAAGAATTTATCACTTTATGAAATTCAACAATTAATAACCCTTCATTTGGCCAAATCATCAACAAAAATCCGACTAATAATCAAGTTGTTTGTCAACATTATGTATGCTCGACAAACAATAATAATATCAGCCAGCTCTTCAAATGTACTGATTGTAACCTTTTCTCGGCCAACATTCGCTTCAATACTTGTATATTTGCAATTTCTGCAAATAGGATCTTTCAAGTTGATTTATTTCAAAAGCGATCTTATACCCTTAAAAATCAACTATAACAGTCACCTGAAGAAATCTCAAGGATAGCCTACCTCTCTTATTTTGCTTCCTATTTTAAACAACAACTTATTGCTTTACCACTAACCAATCTATTCGACATAATGTTTCTCCCTTTCTCAACATTAACTGAGCTTAAATCTTTATAAACAACACTTATTAACGTTAACAACACATTCCTGACATTTTACACTGATGGTTCTTTAATCTCTCCTAAGACAGAATCATATAAGATAGGACTAGAGTGGATTTGTATTGATTCATCCAATAATTATCACTCATTTAAAGCCTCGCTGACAAACTGGCCTTCATTAACATATGCTGAAATATATGCTCTCTTCACTGCTCTTTTAGTATCACCGCAGTCTTCTTCTATCAACATTTTTCAGACAGTCAGGTCACAATCTAAGGTTTCTCTAAATATGTTTTGAATAACAGTCTTTCATCCAGAAAATTTGAAAAGATACCCAATCACTCTATCTGGTACCTTATAAGACACACAGTGAATGCACAGCATCTTAATATACACTTTCACAAGGTTAAAGCACATACTGGTGATTATTTCAATGATATCGCCAACCAATTGACTAAAACTGAATGTAATGTTCATCCTCTTATCCCAGTACTGAACAACATTTCCTTCTCTGATCTTGTTTTTACTTTCAATAACGTATCTATTGAAATATCTATTAGAGGTTTTTTCAAACAACTTTTTTCTGCCAAGATTTTTTGCAACTTTCTTGACCTGAACAGAAATGATCACATCAGTCATCTTACCAGAAACTATTCTATTAACTGGTTTGCTATTTGGTCCTTATTCTCCCTGGACTCATCTTCACTCAATAATTCTTTTGCTTCTTGTAAACTCAAGACCTTCATCATAAAAAATTTTGTTAATGAACTACCAACCCTATCAAGATTATCTATACTAAGACCTGATTTGTATGAACATTGGTATTGTATAGGCTGCAGACTGGATACAAAAACTTCTGATCATCTCTAAACCTATCCTACTTATGCTACAAAATTACAAAATATTATCCAAATAACCAAAGATGATTTAATCTATCATTTCACAGAATCGAATGTCTCTAAACTCACTGAATTTCTTTCAGAACTACTAGACATCCTAAATAACATCCTTGCTATCCCCTCATCTAAAACTAATGGTTACATAGATATTATTCACTCTCTTATTCCTTCTTCTTTAATAAATATAGTTCACAAAATCACTAGGAATAAGGGTCAATGTTTCTCAATCATCACTCAATCTTTAATAGTTTTTCAACATAAATTATTCGAAGATGTTTAGAAACACCACTGTAATCTAATGGTAGCAAAAGAACATTCATTAGGTATCACTATCAAAGATAAGACTAAACGAGGTACCAGTTCATTCTTGAGACATGAAGAGACATCAAGTCCTACATACAATTAGGAATCTTAAATACACATGACGAATAAATTCAGCTACACCTTTACAGATTTTTAGATAGGCACTGACTCTTTCTTTTTCTTCTTTTGTTGATAGCAATTTTCATTAGGTATAAACTTAGTGGATTTGTTAGAGGAGGAAAATGATGGTCGGTCGATTCAAACAGGTTTGTAATATAACTATGAAGGATAGCTAGTACTTAGTCTAGATTTATTTAATTTACTTTGTATTTCTTTTTATATAAATTTAATAAAGTTATTGGCAGTGCCTCATCGTTAAAAAAAAAAGAAACTGATCTGACGGACGAAACATTTCGCAATTAAGATATTAATGAAATATATTTTTTCAATTGTAGTTATGCATTTGCAAGGAAGTGACTCAGAGCTTGCAAAGCTAACCTATTTTTTATTCAGAAATTCGAGAACCTTATTAGGTGAGAAAACCTCTTTTTCAAAATGCTAATCTCTCTTTTTGCTTAGAATAACTCTGATAATTCGCGCTTTCAAACTTTTTCTTCTTTTGTTGACATTCTACTATCATAAACTTTCAGTGAGTTTTACTAATGCCAATATTGTTAATTTATTTCTAACTCTTCTATGCATAAACTGATGACTATTTTATTCTATCAAGAATATCGACGTTGAGATAAATGAAATCAGGTTAGAGTTAATGTTGGGATATGTTAGTATATAGATAGCTTAGATAGCTTAGATAAATGAAACACCAGCAGGCATTAGTATAGAGACTTTATTTCACATTATAAAACAATGTCTTTTTTTATATCAATAAATCAATAATTCTGATTGTGACATTTTGTCACAGTTTGTTTATCTATGCTAATGAACTTTTGAATTATTCTGTTTTATATAAAAATATTATTAAACATGCAATCCAATGATTCATTGAGAGAATTAAATTCCAAGCTCTTAGCTGAGATTGCAGAGCTTAGGAAGGAGAATACTGAGATTCCCAAACTTAGAGAAAACTTATTAAAGTTTGCTGAGGTTGAGGCTGAGAATGTGAAGTTGAGGCAGATTATTGAGAAGAATGCAAAGCGTGATGCTGAAAATGCTGAACTTAAAACTGAAGTAGCTAGATTAAGGTATGACATTGAGAAGATAAAACAACAAACACAAGTCATTACTGAAATGCAGTATGCTATTGAAGACATTTTCTCTGTAAAAGTGATACTAAAGATATCAACTGCTAGTATATCTAGCAACTAGTGTGATAATGTCAATTCTTTACCTTCAAATATGAGTGAGTAGAAGTCATTGAAGGATAGAGAGATAAATGTTTTCTTGGAATCAGAATATAAGAAAAAAGTTAATGATAAGATTAAGCAACGCAATAAGAAGAAGAAACTTTTACACAAATCAGTTAATCAAAATTTTATTTCTAATTTGTCATATGATACAGAAATAATCACTAGCGGTCAACAACAGAAAAATATTTCAAATATATTTCAGGAAAATCCTAGACATAATAATTCCACCAATAATTCTGAGCTTACAAAAAGTCATTCAAAAACTGTGACAAAATGTCATGATCAAAATAGTGTTCTTGATAACCCTAATAATGATATACTTGAATTAGAAAATTAAATAGTAGAGGGTTTAGTGCAGAGTTGACCTCTGAATTCAATTTTGCATCTGGCAATAAATCTTTGAATAAAGGCGAAGTAAACATTTCTGAAATTAGTAAGCCTTGTATACAGGATATGATTCTAAGTTCTACACAAAGTTTATCAGAATTATTTGATAAAGCAATAAAATCAGGTCAGAAGCAAATTCTATGCTGATTTTATTATTCTCTTGAATTTGAAAATAAGGTCAAAAACCTTACAGCGGATGGAAAGACTAAAGATAAAACAGCAAGATCAAAATATATAAAAAAATGAAACCTTTTCTACCTAATATTACCAATGTGAATCTGTGTAAGAAAACTAAAAGAGCCCCAAAAATCCTTAAACTCTTTGGTGAAGGAGGTATAGGCATAAATAGGATCAAATATATTACATATAGCGCAAGTACTATCTTAGAATTAAAAGATTCTCAAATTCAATATATTATAAATCAGGTGATTTCAAAAACTGTGACAAAATGTTACGATCAAAGCACTTTGAGAAAATCAGAAAAAATCAGAGAAACTACTAATGGTAATCAGACTAATGCATTTATTCCTCTAAAAGCTGAAGTAAGTATATTGGCAAATGTATTATCTGGATCTCATTCTAATCCAATTTATAATTGAGTCTATTTTTACAACAAAATATTAGATCAATATTCTGCTTTAAATAGAGAATTTATTAGTAAAAATTTTGATTATTATGGAATTACTGATGAGACATCATGCCCATTATGCAAGTTAAAGCATGATGATGAGGAAAGCATAGAAGATATATATAAAGCTGAATCTTATTTTATTAAATGTGAACAACGCGAAATTAAGATAACTATATAATTTTATTACCCTTTCTTATATTTGAAAAAGTGTAGTCTTCTTCATAATCTATTATAAAAAATTAAAAGAAGATTACACTTTTCTAGATATATACTCAGGTATGGTATAAATAGGTCAGTCATGATAATACATAATGCATCTCTAACAACAGATACGAAATCAATATACATATACTGGCACAAATCATGAATGAAAAAGAAACAAATATGTATCTGAAAGTAGAGCCTCTTTAGAATTATTATATAAAAAATTAGAAGAAAGCCCCATCTTTCTATACATATACTTGGGTATAGTATAAATGGATTGGTTATGATAATACATATCACACCTCTAACCTCAGACACAAAATTGGTATACATGTACTGATGCAATAGTTAGATTATAGGATGATGCACTTTTAGCAATCATTTAATTTAAGCTAACACTATTTCATGATTTCAGCTAGATCTTTAGGCATAATAATTCAGCATCTAAGCTGATAAACTAATAGGAATCTCTCTGGCATCCTGGCAGTCCCTCACTAGTTTTATGATAGTTTCAGGATACTATCAGGTTATTACCATAATGACTTCTCAAATCATGTACCCAAAAGATCAGCCAGAAATTATGCTATAGTACTGACCAAATTTAGACGTGAATTTACATTAAATCACTTATCACCTTTTTTTATCATATTTTGATATCTAGAAAGGCAACCAAATAGGTGCAAAGGGAAAGTACTCCAACATAGAATCTAGCACCTAATCAGATGCAGGAGGCCAGCATTCTTAACATAAAACCAGATATCCAAACAGCTACAAAGGGTCAACAATTCAATTATAGAATTTAGTGACAATAACCAGGTAACAGTCTAGTAGTAACAAATAATAACTTACTCATAATTAGGTCATATGAGATATTTAGATTATATGTGTTATTTAGATTATATGTAATATTTAGACTATATATAATATTTAGATTATATGTGGTATTTAGATTATATGCGATACTATAATCTAGGCTAAGTGAAATATCACATATAATATGATCATATTATATGTAATATCCCACTTGGTGAATGATTAGCTTATTTTTTTAGTGTAAAAAAGCTAATTTCATAAAAGTGTTTAAGTATATTATAAACAGCTATTTTGTTATATTTTAATTGTTTAATAATAGTATGATCAAATTATTTACAAGTGTATCTCTATAGGTATCTATTATTTGCTCATAAGTTCCTTTTTACTTCTTTGATTAAAGCCTATTATAAAACTAGATAATATAATAACCTTTAACATGTAGTAGGCATCAGCTATAAGTAGAGAATGTAAGCTTATCACAATTAGAACATAGCATTTATTTTTTAGCTTTTTAATAGAAATAACACCTTTCAAGACGAATGTAAGAATTTTCACAAACTTTTCCAATATTGCAAAGATATAGACAGGAATATTTATTGATTATTCTATTTTTAACATTAAATTTTAAAAGATTAATTAATAAATAGTTAATACTTCAGTTTTGTAATAGCCTAAAATTGTTTTGGTAAGCCTGCAAATATCATTTTTAGTAATAACTCTATGATTGAAAAATAAAAAGAATATAAAATAATTAATTAAAGAAAAAATTTTATAAGCAAATAATAGCACTTATTAGAGTTAATACTATAGTTAGAAAAATAAGAAGTGATAAAAAAGATATTATCTGTAAACGTTATAGTTATGAATACTCAATATTCAAAAAACTTTATAAGTATCTTAAATAAAAAAATCTGTATAAAATATTATCAGAGATAACTGCTTTTATTCAAATTTTCATTTAAGCATTTATTCAAGCTTTTATTTAAGAACCTATTTTAACTGAATAGGAGGAGTATTATTATAAATATCATCATTTATATTAAATCTCTTAACCTATACTCTAGATCTATCAGTCAAAGGCAAATAAAAATTTTTAGCATCTTACCAAAAATAAGCATATTTTTCAAATTTTTAATGGTTACATTTAGCTATAGCTACATCATATTTAGAATTAATATACTGAATTTTTATATTATACCTGAATAAATCTTTATATTTGCTTATATATTTAGTATCTCTATCTATAATAAAATTATCAGGTGGATTAAGAGGATCATTAGGACTATTGTAAATTTCTGAATTGCTTTAGCTATTTATGCTAAAGATTTATCAATTAATGTAAAATTACATCAGTATCTAGTTATAACATTTTTGATAATATCTGTATACTTGTAAATCTGATTATCTACTTTATCATGAGATATAGAAATAATATTAGATTGGTGCACTTCATTTAAAAATTGTATATTATTAAAGGAAGTTTACTGAATAAATTTAGGATGAGATTTGTGAATCTGATATAAAGTCTGCTTATTTAGCCAATTTTTTATTATGGCTAAAGAAAATTTATATCTAAACTTTATATAAGCTTTCTGAATTTTTTTAGCAGTCTAATAATAATCTTCAGGTCTATAATATAGCTCTTGCAAAATGAGATTTTGATTAAGATTACATACTCTTAAGAATCTATATAAATCAAAGTTCTTCTATTCTCTTTTATAATCATGAAAAAAAGAATGTTATTTTGCAGACCTCATCTAAGACAGAGAAGAACATATAAAGAACATAAAGCTGAGCTGAAAGAGAAGAATTATCATCTTTATTATAAATTGCAGACAGAGGTAAATATTAATTGACAAAATGAAAGACAAATTAATTAACTGGAGCGAGATTATTTATGTTGTGAACAAGAAATTTAAAAACTTAATAGAGAAATAGAACATTTTGAAAATACTTTGAAAGAAAAGATAGTAGAGTTGAAATTAAAAATCTCCAGCCTAAAAAATCAGTTATATCAGGTTAAAAAATGTACAAGATAAGGATAAGTATATCTCTTTCTTAGAAAAAAAATTATTAGAATCTGAAGAGCAGGTTGAAAAATTGCAATGTTAAATCAAAAGTATCTTATCACGAAAAAATTTGCCAGAATAAGGGAATTTTTCAGAATTGTATAATTCTAATATTAACTTAGAAATAGCTACTATCACAAAGTTAGCAAATGTTATATAGATAATAGGATAATAGCTAAAGATATTTTGATAGATCAAATAAAAAAGGCAACAAGATAAATTCACCAAAAGAGAATAATTTGCATTAGGATTTAGTCCATAAGTAGAGAAGATGATATAATGTAAAAGCTGAGTAAGATCTTACTATTATGTGAAGAGATTTTACTAAAAAAGCAATGAATAGAATTGTTAGTAATCTTCAGTAGTTGTAAGCTAATGCCTAAAGTTAAGTAAATAAAATGTTAAGTAATATAACAGGAAAATAAATCCATATTAGTGTATTACTACGGAAAAACTTGCCTTACAATTATTGTATCAGCAAATGCCTACTATCTATTGCAAAATAGAAGGAATATAGGCTTATTAGAATATAATTGAGATAGGCTCTATAAGTGATATGAAAAATGAAAAATAATATCTGTGATGTTTAGAAAAATATTTTAAATTTGCAAAAACAAATTTTAGCATTATAGAATAATTTACCTAATTAAATAAATATAGCAGAAATCCTACAACTATTTTTTGATTGAATGATAGTATTTCAGATTTTCTAGTGAAACTAGATTATATTTACAAAATTAAGAGGTAAATTTAGCAAATAATGTGAAAGATCTACTTAGAGAAAGAGAAGTGGCTATAAAATATTTAAGAGGCTATATAAGAGGAAAAGCCTTATAATAGTTTGACAAAAGATTATTACAAAGTAAAATTAGAAATTAGTAAACTTACTTGATAATATAAGACAGATTAATTTAGTAACAGTAAATGGATGAACAGCTATTTAGATAAGAAATTAAGTAGTAAATGAGGCTTTTGGTTAATTAGAAATTGCAATAATCAAGTTGAGAGCTGTAGAAAACCCTAAAATAAAGATTGACATATAGCAGATAGTCATCCTATTAATATCGCTATTAATATACTAAATGTTAATAATGATACTACAATAGTTATTAGTAGTATTCATTTTGGTCAAACTATATGATAGCTAAAAACATATTTTCTTATAGTAAAAGAAGAACTTTAGGATTTGATATATAGGATAATCAGAAGAGGAATATGATTATAGATAAATTA